AGTCCAGGCCTCGATTCTGGGTATATACAATGCCAAACCTAAAACCATCAAAAGCTTCCCCGCAAGTAGTCAAATCTCTACAGAGTGTAAGAAGATTACAATTTTCCAGCAGAAGCCCTCTTAACAAGCTGGACCCTCTCCCAAGCCCCCTCAGCAAACGGTTTTGCCCTCTTCGCGTAATCACTAGCCCTCGCACTACTAGCTTGTCTCCCAGCGAACCGGGCCGCAATGCCCTGCATAATCACGGATCCTCGGAACGCAAAAAATGCATCGCCCCACGCCACGTCCGAGCTCGTTTCGTACCCAGACGTCTCGGCGTACCAGCCAATGCACTCCTCGCGCCGTGGCAGCCCTGGAACAACCCCCGGCGCGAACTGCGACAGTTGGCTGTCCCCACCGTCGATTATGTAGGGGCTTGTGAGGTTGCAGAAGTCTGACAGGGGGTGTCCTACGGTCGCCATTTCCCAATCTAGGATTCCGATCACGCGCGGCTCCGTCTTGTGGAAGATCATGTTGTCAATTTTGTAGTCGCCATGCACGAGGGTGCCCCGGTCCAGTGGTTGCGTGCTCTTTTGCGAGAAGAACTTCACCATGTCGTCGAAGTGAGGGAGTTCACCGACGGGTTCTTTGGTGTCGGCGTCGACGACTGCTGCTTGTGCTTTGGAGATCGTCTTGAAAGTGGCGATTTGGCGGTCAAAAAAGCCTGTCGGCTTGCCGAACGTTTCGAGTCCGACGCTTTTAGGGACTACGCTGTGGAACTTTGCGAGCGTTTGTACTGCATTCTTCCAGCTGCGTGCTTGTTAGTATTGCGCAGTCACTGGGGGTTTTTGGTGTCAGCGTTGGAGCCTCCATCGCGACGTACAGTGCTTTCCTCTCCTCCCCGCTTATACCTGGCATCGCTGGGTCGGTGAAATGCCGCCCGTCTAGGAATTCCATGATGTAGAATGCGGTTCCAATCACGCTGTCATCTTCGCACAGGCAGTATGCCCTGGGAACAGGTACATCGGTATCCCACAATGCCCGGATAATCTTATACTCGCGCTCGACCTTATGAGCCGTCTTTGAAAGCAGCTTGCCAGGAGGCTTCTTGCGCAGAACGACCTGCCTGCCATCAGCGGCAGTAAGAAGGTAGGTAGGATTTGATTGACCGAAGCCGAACTATCGTGACAAAATATTAGTTCGTCCGTTTGATATTGCTCATTTGGTGATTGACGGGGCCAGACTCACCTGCTTCACATCAAGTGGAGTCTTGACCTCTGGAACATGCTGGTCAATGTACTTCTCCAACGAGGGGATATCTATAGGCTGGCGCACTTCTCCCGCCATTATGTCGATATAAAATGAGGAAAGGACTGTGCGAAAAGATTGTGGAAAAAGCGTATATATTTGGCAAAGTGACTGACTGTTTAAAAAATAATATGTACAGCCAAGCCATAAATGCCGGGGCACCTCCTCGGCGTGACCGGGGACCTCGGCCCCAGCATTTCCTCGGCGTCACCGCTCGAGGGGGGAGCGGGGAGGGGAAACAAACAGAACAAACACCCGGCGCGTCCCAGCGGTGAGACGCGCAGAAAGGCGTCGAGCGTGGAGCTCACCGCAATTTTTATGAAGCTAGGGGCGCTTTGTCAATTGCGTTAGCCAACTCACTGCGGGTCCCTGTTATTTTTACCACAGCTCTATCCACTCGATTCTCGATCTTCGATCCTCTAACCATTTTCTGTCTACCATGACCAGAGAGACCACCCCGCCACTTCAAGAGAAATCTCTCCCGGCGCACAATCCGCCTTCCCTGCCTACCTCCCCGCTACCGAAACGATCAAAGCCCGACACAATGACCACCGCTGCTGTCACCTCGATCCAGCAGCCGCTGCCCCCGCTGCTTGTTAAGAAGCTCGTTGAGTCTGCCCAGGCTCCAACACGCGGCTCGGCTTTTGCTGCTGGGTACGATATCTACGCTGCAAAGGAGACTGTCATCCCCGCTAAGGGCAAGGGCGCCGTTGACACTGGTATTGCTATTGCTGTACCCGAGGGAACTTGTATGTGACACCTGTGATGGGGATTGAGATTGAGAAATTTGGCGAAGCTCTCAGCTTGTTGAGGCTGAGTTGGGTTAAGAGTCATACTAATGACGAATACAGATGGCCGCATTGCTCCCCGTAGCGGCCTTGCTGCTAAGCACTTCATTGACACCGGTGCTGGTGTCATTGATGCCGACTACCGCGGTGAGGTCAAGGTGCTTTTGTTCAACCACTCTGACGTCGACTTCCCAGTCAAGGCGGGTGATCGCGTTGCCCAGCTGGTTCTGGAGCGGGTGAGTTCCGGCTATCAATACTGTATGTTGTGAATGTGTCTGACCTGTTTTAGATCTACACCCCTGAAGTGAGCGTTGTCGAGGAGCTGGAGGAGAGTGTTCGTGGTGCTGGTGGCTTTGGTAGCACTGGTATTTAAGGGTCATACCTCGGTATATAATTGGAAGGACAGACAAAATTAGATAGGTTCTGGGTTTGAAAAGAACCTAGTTACGATTATATGCATTTTGAGATCTTGTTTGACTGAATGAACGAAAGATACAAAAAAAGTCCATGCTTGATTCAATAATCAAATCTATGTCCACACCGAATTTTTGATATAGAGAGGGGCCATCGACCCGGCTTCATCCAATGCCCTCCCGAAATCCTTCTATCATCTAGCGATGCCATATGCAAAAGATATAAAACCAAAGACTATCGCAGCTCCTCGGGAAGATCCGCCTTCTTCCAATCCTGCACCTTGAAAATAATCTTCGGATCCTGCAAAAACCGCGTATTCCGCACGAGTCTAACCTCAGCAGCCTTAGTCTTGCGCAAGTAATCTCTCTTCTCCAATTCCTCCGCCGAGACCTCTCCTTCCAGCGCAGGCGCAGGAACCGCCAGCTCCGCATCACGACTCTCCAGCGTCCGCTCCAAAACACTATGCATACTCGACAGAACCTTGACAGTCGCGCTGGCCAACGGCAAATCCGTAGCCACGACATCGTCGGGCGAAACCCACGACTTGGTCGTGCGTAGCCCGTCCACTGCAGAAACGGCCTCGCTTAGGCGCGCGACGGTCAACGCCGCGAACATGTCGCCCGTCCCGCTGAAGAAGCAGTTCAGCGCTGGAATGTCGACACGGAATAGTCGCGGGGACCCATCGGAGCGCGTGGTTGAGCCAATTACTGTTAGGAAGTTCTCTGGCGGGGATGGGGTTGAGCCTGATTGGGAGAGCTTGAAGAGCTGCACTGAGGTGATTATCACGTGTGGAACGGAGTAGATCCTGTGAATGGCTGTCACCGCTGAAGCGAGGGTGGCTAATGAAGTTATTTTGATGCCGGAGAGAGTCCTGTATTATTTTTATATTAGTGGTTATGTCTGGGTATGAAGTCTGGGTTGCTTACTCGGCTTCGAACTGGTTGGGCAAAATGAGATCCGCAAAGGGGATGATTTTCTTGTATGCGGGGACTACGTCGTCGTTGACATATAGCCGGCCTTGGTCGCCCATGACTGGATCCAGGACTGACATTATATCAGCATCTGTACTTGGGAGGAATGGAGAGTCTTTACTCACCCCAGAAAAATGACCCGGGCTTCTTCTCCGCCTTCTTTTGCAGGTCAATGCCGATAGCGCCTACTGCTTCCACGGCTGCTGCACTCGGGGCGTAGCCCGATAGCATGACATCGAAGTCTGTGAGGTTACTCTGGCATAGGCCCTGGTAGAGATCTGAGATTTCCTGCGCGGTGGCACGAGTTCCCTTAAATTGGCGGTAGCCTGTGTGGTTACCTGCAATTGCATGTGAGTCTGGGTTGAGTGTTCACTGTTAAGACTGGGTTGCAACGTACTGAAGTGGACGGTGTTTATGGCGGCTACTTCGCAGCCCAGAGATTGCATGACGAAGGTTGCCATTGTGTTTCCAACATGGCTAGAGAAGGTGTTAGTTGCTTCACTCCAAGGATGTCTTCTAGATATGATGATCTGCATTATCGGACTCGAAACTTACCCATAAACTACCTGATTGAGTGTCAGTTTTATCACCCGAGGGACTGGGCAGTTTCACTTACATGGCTGGCAACAGCCAGAACCCTGGTCTCTGGTACTAATGAATCCATGATAAGTCTAAGATCAAGCAGTTGAATTGAAAGAGAGAGTCTATCAAGTATGTTCAATGTTGCTATGACTCTGTGTGGGGTTCGGGGGGAAATGATTTGCCGAAATTCCTCTTACCTAATTGGCCCCGAGAACCGAGTTTGTTATCAGTAAGATAAAATATGTTCAGTTCCAGTCGGATTTAGTGCTAATTAAAAGTGTAGACGTAGATGTAGAGCTGTAGAATCAATTAGGCTAAAGTCCGTCAATAACCGGACTGTGACATCTCGTGTTGCAAGATCCCCTTGTTTCCAAGACTCTTATCTTCGATATCAGCGCGGCTCTTGAAGAGAATCACGATGAAACCACTTCTCAACACAAGGAACACAAACGTGAATGTGCCTGGCCATGAGGTTTCTATGACCAGTAGATGGCGGAGGAACAAGAAGGAAAAGGCAGAATATAGCTGGCATATATATTCCTGGGCTCTTTTTTGAGAAAATGAGATGCGGTGCTTGCCGTGGTTTCATATTTAAGGTTATTCTCAATTGCTCTCTAAACAAACCCGCATATACTAAAGCACTCTTCGCCTCGCGTATTATATTTGAATTCAAAATCGATGAATCTAAGGGATTCGGCGACCATGTACCACATTGAATATTGAGATATGGTAGGTGCTATAATCGCCGGATGAAACTGTGGGAACTTTTGAAGACAAGCCACCTTCGTAGACCTGGTACAATATGCCAAACCTCGTCTGAAAATAGGTAAGATCCCCAAAATATCGCGTGAAATGGAGATATATAAATCCGGCCCCGTCGCCTAGTTCAACCCCTGTCTGTATCCTCAGCCTATCAAAACCCTCTCTTCAGTACGTCTCATAACCACAAATTCTCGCCATGCATGCCTTGAGGAAAGCCTTGAGGATTCGACGTCCTCATAGAAATCTATCTATTACGTCTCGAGGTATCGCTTGCGTGCAAGATTTCTCATTCGGAAGCGCTAATTAAATCATAGGAAATCCCATTTCCAAAGAAAAGCTGTTCAAATACACAAACGGTCGATTCCTTTCTGAGGAAGAAAGCCAACTATCGAAGCGTTATGTTCGTTTTGATGTTGACCGGTTATGTGATGTGATCGCAAGCATCTCTAGAACAGGGGCACTGCGGGTTTCGAAGATAGAGAAGATGGAGGGTGGATTTAGCAAGGCCCTCCTTGTGACAACTCTGGATGGCTCTGAATATATTGTCAAGATTCCATGCCCGAATGCAGGAAAGCCTATGTACTGCACAGCATCTGAGGTTGCGGTCTTGAACTTTGGTAAGATTGATCTCCTATATGAATACCGTAAATGCATTGAACTTATAGATATCCTTGATTCAGTCAGGACACATACCACAATTCCCGTGCCAAAGGTCTTAGCATGGAGTGCCGATTCAACCAACCCAGTAGGCGCTGAGTATATTGTGATGGAGCGAGTTCCTGGAGTCCAGATCTTCAAGAAATGGGATGAAATGGGAGAGAGCAACCGCATATCAATCATTAAACGTCTCACACAATGGGAGAGTGAGCTTGCTGAGATTTCATTTCCAGCCTCTGGCAGCCTATATCACAAAAGTTCCCTGAGCGATCATGAATTGATCTCGTTAGATCCATCCGTGGATCCTGAAGGTCTATTTTGCGTTGGTCCTTCATGTGATTCTGCCTGGCCCATACAGCATAGTCCTAATGTTCACTGCGGCCCATGTAAGTATTGCCCCTTCTCCTCGACTAACTACGGCTAATACTTTTACAGGGAAAACAATCGGTGACTTGGGCGAATCCCTTATCAATCGATCACTTCTCAAATCCCCACATCATCTAAACCCGAAACTACCAACCTCCTTAAATGGTCCCTTAGAGGAGCATATGATAACCCTTGGTATGGCAAAGAAAATCATGCTAGCAGTCGCGAACAACCCCAAGCTGCTGGCTCAGTCCCAGCCTACATTATGGCATACCGATCTTCATATGGGAAACATCTTTGTCGCTGAAGATGACCCGGCTAAGGTCACTGGTTTCATTGACTGGCAACATACTTCTATCAGTCCTTTGTTTTTGCATGTCAGATGGCCCGTCTTTCTAGCTCCACCAGAAGACTACGAAGAGGGCCAGGTATTACCTCAGCTTCCACCTGGCTATGAAGATATGGACGCCGAAGACAAGGCGATTGCTTTATACAATAAAGAAAAGGCCACTTGGGCAAAGGCCTATGAGGTTGCAACCTTTCTGAATGATAGAAAAGCCTGGAGAGCGATGCAAGTTCCCCTACCACTAAAAGAGCTGTTCCGTCGCTGTGGTGATTGGGATGAGGGAATCCTTCCGCTCCGAGAAACATTGATTGAACTTTTTCGCAATCAGCGAGAGCTCGGATTCGAAGCAGAGCTATCGCTTCACTTCAATGACGAGCAGATCGCAGTACACACGAAGGAGTTTCAGGTATACCAGGAATGGCAGGAGTTACGCAGCTTCGTCAAGCAAATTCTGGATACTGATGATGATGGCTGGATTCCTCCGGAGCGCGATTTCACCGAGATGAAGTCTCGGAACAAGATGTTGTTCGACTACTATGTTTCCAAGCCAGATCTCAACAAAACCCCAGATGAAGTCCGGAAATTATGGCCATTCTCCTTGGGCACATGAACACATCAAATTGAATTTCGCCCAGGATCCACCAAAGAGAACTAATCGGAGCGCGTTACTGTCTTGGATTTTCCCAGCCAATCAATTAGACCTAATATCACGTGATTACCACAGCTCTCACTAAAATATACAATTCCTCCACCTGGGCAAGGAAGTTTTATATTGTAATTGGAAGAGCTAAGATAGGAAGGCCGGAAATGTCCAGGATGGTATGGATCTACTCTATCCCCTGAAGCCAACTGAGTTCCACCGAACGGTCTAGGTCGTGCTAGTGGTACTTCGGAGTTCTGTTAGCGCATTGGCAAGTTCTCGTCCAATCCGAAGGCCTTGGAACTAAAAAAGGCCCATTTTAGGCTTTTCTGCAACTTCCAGGGTTAACGGCGACTTGCGCTTCTCAACTTCAACTTCACCAAACTCATCTTCATGATCTTCCAGGGAATTTTCCCTCAGTCACTCCTTCTGAAGAACCGATTATCGTCATTCATTCCCGAAACATAATGTTGGATTAAACACTTCTTTGTTTCCTACTGTCATTAACATACAAAGACTGTCCTTGCTCCTAATAATACTTGACTATTTATGTCCTCGCCTCGATTTCAAGTCGACGACAATACGTCAAAATGTCCGGTCTTTACCATATCTACAACATCCTAATCCTAATTACTATTCTCTGTCTATCACCCACATGGGCCCAATCAGTGGAGCCCACCGACCTGACCGTGCCACGATCCGCCTGGCACGCAAGTGGAGAGATCACAGACCGTCGATCACTACAACCCGCAGAGGAAACCACAACAGTGCGCCGACGAACAATCATAACAGCATCAAATTCCACTTCGACAGGAATGCCCAAGCCGTTCGACACACTCTCCTACAACTTCGCCAACGCAACCACCTGCATCGACTTCTTCGCGAAATGGCGTGCCAACACGACAATCTCCAATTGCAACGCCATCTCCCTCCTCATCGAGAACTCAAATGCCTTCTTCCACACCCTTAATTCAGCCTCCGCCACCTCCCGCATCCTGGAAACCTCCTGCTCGGCAAATGTCTCCAAGTGCGCATCCATCATGACCGCTCTCGCGGCCGATCTACTCAAATCCGCCAACTGCGGTGACGACTATGATAACGGTAACTCCGTCGTCAAGGGCACGTATCGCGACCTCGTCGCATACGAACCAATATACCGCACCACCTGTCTTACAAACCCATCGACCCAGAACTACTGCTTCGTCGACGCAGTGTCGAATTCAAAAAACCCAGATGACTACAACGTGTACCTCATGCCGCTGGGTACCCCTCTCACTGTCGGGGATGTGCCAACTTGTAATAAGTGCTTGAAAACGACTATGGATGTCTTTTCGAGATGGGCGAGACGAGACGGCCAGTCTCTTGATTCGACCTATCTCCCCTCGGCGAAGATTATCAATGCACACTGTGGTGATGGCTTTGCATTAACTAATATCACTGTTGGCTCGGTGGATGTCAGGGCTGGGGCGGCTCTTACTGCTCCCTTGCCCAATCTTGGAATTGCCACTTTCGTGGCTTTGGTTTTTGGTGTCATGGCAGGCCTGTTTTGATCTAAAATATTTCTGCCGGTTTTTCTTGTCCATATCCACACTCTTTTTTCTTGTTTATCTTTTGGGGTCCGTCTGCCCGGGTGGGTATGGCCATGGTTGATGTCAGCGAGCGTGCTTTTTGCTTTCTGATTTGACCGTCTGATTTGTACGTAATTTCTAGTGATATTGTCCATATTGCTCTGTAGCAGTTCTCACTCTGTTATTTTCTTATTCTTTCCGTATACGATAGGGTTTGAATCGATTTAGCATTTGCAATTTGCTAATGCCAAAAATGACCGGGTGAATAGTATATTCCTCAAGCGCCAGTGGCAAGCATGTCCACAACCACGTATAGATAGACACAATATAAACAAAAAAAAAAAATCGCATCTGAGATCATTGGTTCGGGTGCACATAGTTCGTGACGTAAGAAAATCTGGCAAAAGTAGCAAAACAATAAAGCAAAAACGCTCACTGACATAAAAATGTTATTTTAAAAAATCAACATGAACCTCATCAGCTCCTCCTCTTCAACCCTCCTCCCATAGCAACACCAACAAGGCTCTGCGGCTCACCTCCAAAGCTAGCCCCTAGACTCATAGGAACCGGCGATCCGCCACCAGAAATAGGACTCTGTGTAGCGGCATCTCGTTCCCGCTTGACACGTATAAACCCCAGTTTGGCGAAGCGGCCAACATGTGTCCAAAAGTGACGGCCGGCTGGGTGTGCGGCGATGCGCTCGAGAAGATCGGCTGTCGCTTCGCGGACAACCTGGTCCGGATGGAACAGACCCATGCTGACATAGAAGAGACCGGCCTGGTTTTCCGGTGCGATGGTTAGGAGCTGGCAGATACCGGCGTAGTTCTTGACGGATTGGGAGAGGGCGAGGTAGATGGAGGCGGCTTCGGAGTGGGAGAGTTTTAGAGTGCGAAGACGGTCGTGGTGGTGATGGATGTCTGGGCGTTGGATTGGGCGCGCGGGGAAGTACATTGCTGCGATATCTTGGATGTAGGAGTAGTAGGAGCGAGTGTTGCGCCAACCTTCGATTCGGGAGACGGAGGCTGAGAGCTCGCGCTGCTTGGCGGCTTCGTCTCTCCATACATACCCGTGCCCGCGGAGAGTTGTTGGGTCTGAGGCGTCGGTTTGGTGGCCTGTTGGGCTGTCCGGAGAGAGTTCTTCGCCTGGGCCGATGATGTAGAGATTTGAGGCGCCGTAGACTGCTTCTTCGAAGGCTGCGGCGACGCGGACGAATTTTGTTATGTAGGCTCGCCATTTTGCGCGGACGGCATTCTCGCCGTGGCGTTGGCTAATGCTGCGGAGGATATCTTCTATGAATAATGTGTCGCCCGTTGGGTCTTGGGTTGTGTGGGATGAACTGCTAGGTAGAAGGGAGTTCTGCTGCTGGAAGAATAGAAGCCCTTCCGTTACCGGTGCAGGTTCAACGTGACTCGAGATCTTGATGCGACCCGTGGGGAGGTCGCACATAACGTCCCACCATTCAGGATGGTTGGCAAAAGTAGGGTTTGTGACTCCTGCAATAAAACCAGGTACCTTGAGGAGATCGTCGATCTTGGACAGATCAGTATAAGGGAATGCGTGTCGAGTATATCCACGTAGAATGCCACCGGACGCAAGAGCGCAGGCCGCCAGAACCGCCTCTGCAACTTCTCCCGATGGCCGGTTATGTCCTAGAAATACGACACGCTTCTGAGTGAGGATGGCGTTGACAAGAACAATCACGGGGTGTGTGAATGGCCCGCTCGTTGTCAAATGGGGATGCGCTGGGAAAGCCTGCGGGGAATTGGCATGCGGCACAGCGAACGTCTGAATGAGCTTGATGAGGGAAAAGTCTCCAACGGTCTCCGGCCAAATCACTGTCGGAATTTTGACTGGGATGGGTATGTCATTGTAGACTACTTTCGACTCGTACTCATGTGTATCCCGCGGTAGGACATATCGGCTCACTTTCTTCGGTGACGGTGGACATTCCCCATCCCGGAATTCTTCTTCTTCTCGCTGGCGGATCATTTGTTCGAATTTCTCAAGGAACATATCCTTTGAGTTGCTAGATTGCAAGATATGACGCTCAAGAATCGACATTTTCGGCATTAACGAAAGGTCCATGGCATTAACAGCGTCATAGAGGGATGCCAGAGTCTCGGGGAACGGAGATTTGAAGTAGTCCTCCAGCGCTAGGAGTAGTAAAGGCTGTATAATGGTCAGGGTCAGGCGGGTGCTAGGGCTAGGAGTAGCTTACTTTGTAAATGTGGAGGAACGAATGTCGCGTACAGATTGCCATTGCCTTGACTACGGCGCCTCTGTTCGCTATTAATACTCGTACATTCAGACAAGACAGTACGAGTAGGTACAACTTACCTTCGGACGGTGTTATCCTGCTTTGTATTGACAAGATTCAGCACATACATCAAGGGTGGCCCTTCACCACCCTCATCATCGCTGCTGTCGGGGTCATCGGAGATCTCGTCCAGGTTCTCGTCCTGAATATCGGCTCCCTCATGGCTTCCATGATATTGTGATTTCCGTTTTTTCTTCTTCTTTGCACCCGCCGAATCCGTTTCTTCGTCGCCATTACTGTCTTTGTGTAAGAAGAACATGGTCCAGTCTTGACTCCGCACATGCGTCTGATCCGGCAGCATCAGCTCTGCAAGCATGCTTTCATCCCCACTGATTGCAGCGGGATACTGATGCTCCATGATCGGCCCCCGATCAATATGGAAGGATGCAACTAGGATGTATTCCACATGGCGCTCCGGCGAGTCGAGTGGGTACTGCGCTTTGCAGCGGCGTGGCCTGAAGCTCGAGGCCGCATTCCCTGTGGATGTTCTTCGAAAAGAACCGTGCGAGCTGCTGGGCGAGCGTCCGATAAAGGAGACCGCGGGCGAGAGCCGAGGAACACCACTTGTTTGGCGGTTATTCGAGGCGGAGAGGGAGTCGTTCGACGGTCGATATGGTATTGTTGTTGCCATCTTCTGGGGGTGTTGTGGATAGAGGATTACTCCGGGCTAAGCTATAAATCGAATAGCATACCTGGGGGCACAGAAAGCACCAGATCAACGGCCAATGATAATAATAGTTGAATTAATTGTCTCGAATTAGCTGTTCAGGGGTTAAGAGGGGTTAAGAAAAAGGACGGTCTCTCCACAGTGGAGAGACGATAAGAGCGATAAGGGGGGGATCCATAACATTCGAAGGTTGAACATCGAGGAAGATGATCTATCAGAATGCAATCTGTCTTTTCTTTTTGGACCGTACATTGTAGATCTTTCTATTTATATTACAGCAAAATTGAGGCATCATATATTGCATTTTTATGGAGTATGAAGTAAAAAGCCGCGAACAAAACAAAACACTGTCCACTTCTAGGCATTTTACCTGATAGAATAAAAAGGCAACCTTGTGTCACAGAACACTTGGATGTACCTTATAGGTATACTAAAGAACAGTTAATTATATGAATTACCTTCCATTTATCTTATTTTCCATATTTAGGCCCTTGGAAGCCAATTGATGGTTCATGTAACGAGTACGATTCCTTATAGATCTATAAATACTTCAAAAGTTACATAACTATGCAACACCAAGTCAGCCAGATCCAGTTTTTTTTTTCCCCCTGGATGCATATATAAAACTTATATCATATTCGTTTTAGCAAGGTGAAATTACAAGTATTAAAGCCAGGCAAGGATCGTACAATATACAACAGAGGGTCAAAAGTGTGTTCATATAGATAGGGCGGTGGGAAAGACGGTGGCAAAATTATGTTGTTGTGCCGGGGCTTTGTTTACATCGATAAGCAAGCCTTCGTCATAGGCTGTTTACAATTCATATTTCAGCTCACACGCGAATTTTACCATGGTAAGTAAGGATTTTGAGGGATGATATTAACTATTAAAAACTAATCAACAATGACCTAGGCCAACAATCCCACATTCAAACCATCGCCGTTATCCTTTGGGTCGCCGAGGGCATCCCCGTTCCGGCGCCCATCCACTCCAAATTCCCCGCCGTCGGCCAGTCGCACAGGAGGCACTCCGGGGAGCTCTCCCAGTCGGGCATATACACCTATGGTATCTCCTAGCAAGCTCAATCAATCATATACAGTGGAGGATGGTGAATCGCGTTCTCCGAAGAACGAGCGGCCCATTCCCCAGCCGAATTTTGTCAGAGAGTTCTCTCCTTCCCCAACGAAAGGAGGGAAGTCGCCAGGCAGCTTATCCCCAATCCATGGATCAAGGACGGGTGGAGTTGCAAGCCCAGCTGGCGACGCGGCTGGGAAGCTGCCAGCGCAACAAGTGAGGGAGATCAGAGAAGCTTTCCAGGTTCTCGATAGGGATAACGACGGGCTTGTGGACAAAGATGATGTGATTGATGTGCTGACAACTTTGGGTAGGAGAAAATCTACCTATATTATTTTTGGTAATTCGGATGAGGAACTAATCCGGTATCTGAATAGGCCAAGACTCGTCATCCTCTACGCTCTCGCGCTTCTTTCCACCAGGAGCAGGCAATACTATGAATTTTCCAACCTTCTTGAATACCCTTTCTGGGCTAATGGCATCGATGTCATCTTCACAAGAGCTTCTCAACGCTCTTGCTGCGTTTGATGATGATGACAGCGGGCAAATCGACGCCACGGAATTACGTGATGCTCTCCTACATACCTCCCCAGAAGATGGAGAGGAACGATTGACTGAGAGACAGATCGATGAAGTCTTCAGTGGGTTTATAGGGCGCCCAGCATTTATTGGTCGGGGAGCGAAATCAGGCGGGATGGGTAAGAGGGGTGAGGTTTTCCAGTATCACGACTTCGTACGCAGCATCATGGGTGGTGATAATGGAAATAGTGCCAAGCATGAAGGAGATGCACATGTATGAACTGCTATCATGAAATATGGGTTTCAATTGAGTTGGCGTTACGGGGTCGCGTCTTATAATGTTGGCAGTTGGCAGATTCCAAGTCTGTAGAAGCAGCAGTCAGACTATACAAAGCTTGTCAAGAATGATCATGTACCATTACTTGTTCAATTACCAATAATCATTTTCGATGAAAGCAGTAAAAGTGAAGTATACGGAGCCAACGCCTTCCGCATCGGCAGAAAAACATCCAGCCACCGCGATCTGATACACTCCACCTCGTCAACTGCGCTCATCTTACCCCGTTTCCTAGGATGTCCGTTCGTGAACCTCAAATGCAGACTTGATTTCAGAAAAATGGCCAAACCTCAACCCCCCTGGGCTCTTGGCATCCCGGGCCCCGACGCACCCCCATCGCCGCGAACCATGCGAACCCTCCGAAAGATCCAATCTCACCAAGTGCTGTCAACATCTAGCGCGCTCATTGCCCAGACCCAGGCGTCTCAACAAGCTGGCTCCCATGAATCTCAACCTGGATCAACAGCAACTCCTGGTGCTGCGACCCGAGCGCGCGCACATCGCCGAGCTCGATCAAATAGCGACGCGGCTTCTCGTGAAGCTGCGGCAACACCACCTGCGACTCAGAGACGACCCCCGCGGAAAACAGGGTCGGGAATTGGAATAAAGCGATCGCTTTTAGAGAGCTTTTTGCGCGATGGACCGCAGAGTTCAAATCCCAACGAGGGACTGAGAGAGCTCAAATATCTCGTCCTATCCAGCAGAGTGGATGCTGACGGAGATGGCATGGTGAGGGGTACTCAGTCTGCTTTGCAAGATTAATGTCTAACACTTCGCAATAATAGTCGCCGTACCGGATCTACCTCTGGTTGGTCCTCCTCGACATTCCTCCTATGCCCACCGATGAATACCTTGATCTTATCCACCGCGGCCGTTCTCCCGCTTATGCCAAAATTCGCAATGATACTTTCCGCACACTAGCCACAGACCCTCTCTTCAAACGCCGAGTGACGGAGGCAAGCTTGATTCGACTCCTCAACGCCGTGGCATGGAAACTCCACGATTCCAGGCCGAAGCCTCGGTCTCGACCGACGTCATCTCGGCGCCGTGAGATGGAGCTTCTAGTGAATGCACCCCCTAGTATTGCAGAAGAGTCTCCCTTTGGGGGAGAGCTGGAGAAGATCACTAATAGTACTACAAGTGATTCAGCCATGTACGTCCAAGGCATGAATGTCTTGTGTGCGCCGTTCCTCTATGCTGCCCGTAGCGAGGTGGAAGCATTCGCTCTGTTCCATTACTTTGTCACACGTGAGTGTCCAGGCTATGTCCGTAGTGCTATGGATGGAGTCCACAAGGGCCTTCGTTTGGTCGACCGATGTCTTGAGATTGTGGAGCCGAAGCTTGCAGCATATCTGTTCTCCAAGGGGATGCACGCCGAACTGTACGCATTCCCATCAGTATTGACCCTCTGCGCTTGCACGCCTCCATTGCCAGAGGTGTTACATCTTTGGGATTTCTTATTCGCATATGGGGCACACCTGAACATTCTGTGCATTGTCGCCCAGCTAATCCGTATGCGAGACCTAATTTTGGAGAGTCCGAGGTAAGTCCCAGCCTGTCCTTTGAATGTATCTAACCATAGCTGACTTGAGGATAGCCCAAACAAAATTCTCCGCTCATTCCCTCCCCTCAATGCAAAGGAGATCATTGCGTTGACGGTTCTCCTTGTCCGTAAGATCCCAGAAAACCTTTATGCAGAGATGATTAGCCATGCAAAATAGACATGGCTAGACCTAATTGAGAGAGCCCGAGGTAAATTCCAGCCTGGTGAGGAGCTCTGACCGAAAGAAAGATTTTACTACCTTGGTTTCGGTTTCGGATCGGCGTTTTTGATATGATTGACCGCAACGATTGCGTCTGGTGACTGGATGGGATGAGACTTACATTAACGAACACCAAAGATAACACGCTTGCTTGAATGAACTAATGATTGTACCAGTATCTGCTAGTTTTTGAGAATCCATTTGAGATGAGACATGATTCTCCCTTTTAGAATTCAGATGTTTTACTCTTATGGACCATGCTTCCCTGTTCGTTTGTCAAAGGAAGAAACCCTACTTTTCCTCAGTTCCCTTGAAACATAACAAACATTTTTTGCCACAAGACAAGAAGAGATGGTTGCGAAAGCAGCAAGACATCTTCATTAACGCAATCTGCATGATTTAGGCGCCTTTCATCGTCTGCGTTATAAGTACCCTTTACTTGACCCTCTTTCTTCACCCCATCATTACCCAGAGAAATCAATGTCGTCCGATCTAATAACATCTATCGTCCTGGCCATATGCCTTCTTCTGATTTTGATATGGAGCAACAGGCGCGAAACCAATTCCACATCGAATGACCCAGCGATATGCCGCATAATCATTGCCGGCGTGTTGAAACACAAAGACCAACCGAATAACCTATCACCACACCAAGCGAAAGCAATTTCCAACAAACATCTCCCAGTCGCCTTCGGAATCGACAACGCCTTCACCCGAACAGAGCGTGCGCATGCCGACGTGTTCGTCGAGAAAGTGAAACGGCTGATCAATATATCGACAGAGCAGTGGTACGGCGTATCCGAGTTCGCCAGAGTCACTACCAGCCACTGGATCGAGCATGGCTTCCCCGGGATGAATCATAACTGCGGCAACAGCGGTCGCAAAGGAAAGAATGATGTGAAGTTCATTACCGGCCGCAATCGGATCAACGTCGCCAATCTAGCACAAATACTTTCATTGAAAGTTGTGCTATGGCTGATGTTCGACAAGAAGACTCAAGACGAAACAGGCCACGAGAATCTACTGAACCTAGCGGAATCCATCAATCGAGTTTGGATATCTTCCAAGCTGAAAGCCACGGAGAGCGATATTCCCAGATACGAAGACGACGTGTTGCTTCAAACGTCGCTGGTCAATATCTTCGGGCAACACGATCGCCCAGAAGACAACCCATTGAATCTCATCCTGCCTTCATTTGAGACGATGTGGCGCATCGTCTTGCGAGGATTCCTAGAGACCAGATTCGCGTCTGGAAAGGAAGAACCTTTGTGGCGGGAGACAATGATTGCATTTGCCATGAATCCCACAAAATCCCAATTCGACGGGCCCCCGTCCACTCGTCCCAAGTCCGAATCTAGGGTTGATCCCAGCATAGGCGATACACGTGCTATTCAAAGTTCACCCTGCGCAAAACACATAATTCGGGAATCGCTTCGGCTGTATGTGCCCACAAGACACATACATCGAGCATATCAGTGGCAACCGGGTATGGGGACATCTCATGAAATCAGGTCCGCTGATATCGAAGGATGCCATCTGAGATCTGATATCTGGGGTTCTGATGCAGAGCGATTTAACCCAGATCGGTGGTCGTTTCTGACGCCGGCACAGGGAGACGCTTTTATGCCTTTTGGATCTGCGCCCTTTGAATGTCCTGCCAAGCCGACTTTCGGGCCAAGGATGGTCGGGGTCTTGGTTGGTTCTTTGTTGGCGGCTTTGGAGGATAAGGAGCATCCGAGGACTTGGATTTTGGATTGTGAAGATGGGAAGGTGTTGGAGCACCTCACTTCTGGGAAGAGGTTGTGTCCGCATAGGAATTCCTATACGGATTTGTATCTAGTGCGGTCTACGGAACAGTGAATAGTAATTAGGAATATCTATGGAATATCCTTCGCACACATATCTTTAGTTACAAGTAAACCAAGTTGGTGTGTGGGAGATCGGAGCTAGGACTTAATAGTCAAAAAAATGTAAACGCCTAGGAATCACAGAATAATTTACGTCACCAAGAAAGACCACTACCATAAGCCAATAAAGCAAAGCACGAACGAAACGTATGTATGTTGATATCGACCACACCCGCCTCGAATATTACATAGCCACTCTATCACGTAGGCGCAGATATTGGCGAAATCTCAACCGACTTTTTCAACCCAGACCCATCTATCACCAGAGGCTTAGAAACACCAACAGCATTGGCCTCTGCGGTCATCTCATCAGCCCATGACTGACACATATCTCTATTGCCAGGTACCGAGCCCGCGGTGTCTGAGCCAGCAGCACCTAACACTCCGTCGACTTTTACTCCCCGCGTGAGACGAGAGCCACGATCAACCTTCACCCTGATCCGCGACCCAAAGAAACTCAAATTGTTGAACATGGTCACAGCGCATTGGGCTTCGTCTGCTGTTCGCATGGTAATCAGGCCGCGGAGCCGGCCATTGCTGTCGGCCGAGTCCATGGTGATTATTCTGCATTTCTGGACAGTACCGGCTGCTTGAAGAAGGATTTTCAGATCGGTGCAAGTAGTAGCCGGATTCAAGTTCTCGATTGTGATGGCTCGCCGGTCTGAATAGATGAATGGAGAGCCAAGGTTTGTGCCTTTGGCGCATGATTCGCGATGGTGACAGTTCTGGTAGTTCTGTGATTGATTGTCGCTCTGATGGTGCATGTGTTGTGGAGGCGACATCTGATAGCCTGGCATCATGTTCCAATACGGCTCGTACATTGGGCCGTTCATTACTGGGGATGGGGGGAAACACTGCATCGGTGGTGCGTGTGAATCTGGCATCATAGTCATGAATCCTTGGGGTGGCATTGGCATGGGTACCATCATGAGGCCATACTCCGAGTATGAGTATGGCGGAGTGGCGGGGTGCGAGGATCTGGGGAGGGAAATTAGCTTTCATATTTCATACTTGAGGATATAGACTCACTCTGGCGAGACGGGCGAAGGGGGAATTGCCATATTTCCATGTACTAATTGAGGTGTGGAGTGGCCAGAGATATAGCCCGTGGACATCATTGCTGGACTCCTGGTAGGCCCGGCAATGGGCTTGGTGGGCGTACTGGTCCGCGAAAGTGTGACAACCAGGCTCTGACCCTCCCATCCGCTGGTCGAAAGTCGATCTGTGATGTTGTTAGGGCGGATCATTGGGGATTGCGGGATAGACACGTACGGTACGTTCGCCAGGCCTCGTCTTCATTCTTGACGATGATCTGGCCGAGTCCGGTGGGGAATCCATGGCTATCATCGTATACTACTGCCTGGCGAATATGCAATGCAGTTTGGCGGACGAGATCTTTGAGTTCTTGCCAGCGGCAATGAGGTGGAATCTGGAATTCTTGTCAGTACTTGAACGCATTTGACATACATATCAAACTCACGCCTTGAAGGAATACGACAAACTCATCATCCGACCTGCGCGATCTGGGATGGTATTTATCACGACCGAGAAGAGGCATGGCTGCAGATACTCCGAGACAACACACCCCGGTATTTCAGTGCCGAAAGCGTACTAGCTCAGACCTATGGATTTAAACGGAGGATAGATTTCGGTCCGTCGGTGTTGCGAAATAGTCGGGGATCGACTTGTCCGATCAGGTGTTTGGTTGAGTATAGAACTTGGGCAATTGGGCTTTCTGTCAGAGGGCCATGTTAGCTTAGGGTATATAAATATGATACCCGGGACGACTACAGGAACAACATCACAAAGTATCAAGGTGTAATCAGGGTGCAATACCTGGGAAACAACTGGCACACGCCTACCTTTTTTTCTCTTCCTGTCGGATAAATGCAAGTCAACGTATTGGTCTGACCGACAACTGCAGGGAAAAGAGATAAACCCCTCCACGAGCTGGACGAAGGTCGAGCGGATTATAAAGCCCTGGAACAAAAAGGAAGAAGAGTCGATGTTTCACAAGAACAGCTATGATGATATATGATAGATTCAATTAATTTCTTACTAGTATTAATCTACGATAGTCTCATGAGCTTGCAAGTAGAAATCACGGGGGACCCAGAATACTGCACAATCTGGACGAATGGCGACGCCAGTCGATCAGCAGTAGCCAGTCATATCAGAGAACAAGCAGTTCCCTTTCTCTTTCAAACTGAGATCTGTCATTTTCACCATGAGCTCAGCTCTGCCAAATATTAGAATACAATAGAGTGGTTCTGCCGTCCCACCTCCCGGGTATAGTTCCACTTAGTTAAGGCCTATCAGGGGCCCTAACATGTAATATGGCCCCTCTTTCTTTGCTATCCGTATTTAAATAATCATCTCGATCACGTACCGGGGTATATCCACAGAGGCAAATCACCCCGTAAGCTGCGCTTACTTGACTTAGGGAGGATGTAGTGTTACACCGCTAGATCCGGATCGGACATGCAGAGTGGCCATGCTAGTGGCCATGCATAGTGGACCTGTATTCATCACATTGGCTTCTGTGTCTATTGTCAGATCGGAAACCCTGGAAAAAAGCAAAAACAGCAAAGGATGGACAGGAATGAGAGAAAAAAGAAATGGGTTTATGAAAGGGAGATCAGTCATATCTTGCAGATATTGGTTTTTCTTTTTTTGGATCAATTACATTGACTATTGATTTGTAGGCGTAGCTCGCTAAGTACCTGCAGATAAAATATATATAGAATTATTTTTTGAAGGATAACTCCGGCTCAGATTCATTGCCCTAAATTCTTGTTCATGTGGACAGACACAGCCGCAAGTCGTCATCGGGTATTGAAGATGTACTCGTCCTTAGGTTATGAGAACCAAGTGTGTTACAGATCTTCAGATAGATCTCTGTGTTCCCTTTGACCAAGGTCGATAACTACAATAGACATGGCGCAGGACATGTGCGACTGTTAAAAGTATATCAAGACAAATGACCACCCACACAGGGAGCTATGGACATCCTAAGTACTCCGTATGTACTCCGTAAGCTGTGCTATGACGCTACGCCACCAAGGCACTGGGCTCCAGGGGAGATCACATGGCCATGGTCTCTACACATATCTACGGCCTCTTTTATTGATGAATTGTGGCAGAGAATCTTCTTCGGATTATGTTCGGTTCTCATGTTAATCATAAATTATCCTCCCACGGGCGGGTGATTCCCTGCTAAATGCAGATGATTACCTCTATTACGGACATGATTAGCCTGCAAATGGTACTAAATATATAACAAGCCTATGTATAGGCAAGGGATCGTGTTATATGTTTCAATTCAAATAGAAGGATAAAGTAAATTATTCTAATTCGGTGTGGAGAAATGTGATATCAGACAGTGTCGCTCGAAACAGATAATGAGATTGTAACCCACCCAGTGGGCGATCGCTGAAGGGCAAAAGAAACCAAGACATGAGACCAGCTCCATGTCGTACAATAACCTGCTGCAATATGCATAAAAAAGGGAAAATGTAAACAGCATTGCCGCTTATAAAAGTTGGTGAACCTGCAAGAGAACCCATGCCTGACAAATCAAGGCACAAGAATCCACATGCAAATATGTATGTTGTGGTCAATGCCGACCGAGTGGAATGAACCAAATTCGATGATACTCCAAGCGCACCTCGGTCCAAAGCCCCGTGGTTCTTGCGCCGATAATCACTGATCCCCAGGCTACCATTTTCGGTGTCCAACCTGTACAATCCTCCATAGACCTCATAATTCGTATCGTGATCAACGAAGATCAGGTAGTGCCAGCGCAGCCCGGGCGAGGTCGGAAACGAAGGAAAGCATCGAAGAAACGGGACAGAACGTTATCTCATTCGGAAAGGAAGTCGCATCTGTCCTCGCGCCGGGGGAGGGATTTTTGGTCGGTTTGCAAGTCGGTTTTTGATGTTGATCCAATCATCGCTAGACTCCCCGGATCGTCCGGTTTATTTGGTCCTCGTTTGGGTTTATTGTGGGTGTGTATATCGTGCTCATCTCATCCTCCGAAGCCGACCTTGGCTGCGCAGCGGCTGCAGTAGTAAGAGTTCATGCCGAATTGAACAACGCTGCGGCCTGATTGGCCTAGGCTGAGAGATTGTTGGCAGCGAGAACATCGGACAATGTCGAGAGTCTGGGGAGAAGTGGCCTCCGATGGACGAGCAACGCCGGCGGTCTGAGGTTGAGGAGTAATTTGCACTGGAGAGCTCATTTTGAGTAGATTTTGAACTCGAGTGAGGATTTGAAAGAGAGAAGGGCGATGGAAATGGTTTGAGTTGACGCAGTTAAGAGGTTGGGCCCCGTGATTTCTTGGTTTACCCCGGTTTTCTTTAAGTGATGATGATTTGACTTGGTAAACAGGAAAGGTGTAGAAATATGAAACAGGGAAAGATCACAGGCTTTTAAATTGTTTTCAAGCCACGGAAGACTCCGTATTCCCCCTTCTCTTGCCGATCATACATGTGGGCTGACATATGGGCTGCTTTTAGGCTCTCATTCCAATAACTCGGCGCTGACGAGGCCATTATTCCGATAACTCTGTTACCTACGCCCATCGGCCATGGCGATAACACACATCTCCGGCATAATACGATCCTTGATCACTGACCTATTGGAAAACTAAAAAGTTGAAACAATTGAAACGAAGTCGTGGGAGGCACTATATTTGATACAAAATCGATCATCTCCACTTCATCCAAAACAGAACTAAATCAGAAGGAATATTTTTAGAGTCATGTACATTTACGTAGGTGGGCGTCTCAATATTTCGACTTGCAATATAAATAAATCTACTGATTTGGACGTATTTCTATTATTTCTATTAACTTCCGAAGATCCTGAGGTCATTGTCATTGTCATTGGAGTTAATCCCCTTGGAATACTGCAGCTAAGCCAGTTTAGGCCATGAAGCCAGAGAGAAAGTCGAATAAGGTGTGGCAAACCAAAGGGAAACGGATCTCCAAATGAATTCATTGGATGATTCATTGGCCAATTCGTTGGAAACCTTGGAATTGGAACATCCCACTTTGGCCGAAGTCCATGGATTTCCACGAATAGCACCCGTGGCGCATCAGATTCGCGAGCGACGTCATATTACCCGGATTCGGCAACCTCTCCTCTTCTCTCCACCTAACTTGCTACGTTGCAGACTGTCGAGTCTTCAATTCCTCCCCCCATCTTCGAGCCTAGGCCAACGCCAAAAAAGCGTTTAGATTCGGCCCTTGCCCCGCAAAAAACCGAAATATTTCCTGCCCCTCATTCTTGTCCCACCCACGTATCACCATGGCCACCGGACACCCCAACCTTCACAGCTTTCCCAACAGCGATGAGCTAGCTGCGCAATTGCGAGGCTATGTCCTCCGCTGCCAGAACTCCGCTTTTTCCCGACATGGCACTTTCCGACTCGCTGTCTCCGGTGGCTCCCTGCCTGCCATTCTAGCTAAAGCTCTCCTCGCCAGGAGCAATGGCTCCCCGGAAGATACCCCCCAATTCTCCAAATGGCACATCTTCTTCGCCGATGAGCGCGCTGTACCACTCGATGACGAGGAAAGCAACTACCGCCTGCTGAAAGACGAGCTTGTCTCCAAGATCCCCGCCAAGTTCGGCTCACCCGTCGTCCACGCCATCGACGAAAAGCACATTGGGGATGACGATCCCCAGGAACTCGCAGATCTCTACCAAGAGGACCTGATGCGCGAGTTTGCCTCCAAGGAAACTGTCAAATTGCCCACCTTCGATCTCATCCTCCTGGGCTGCGGCCCCGATGGCCACACCTGCTCGCTCTTCCCTGGCCACGCCTTGCTCCGCGAGAAGGATGCTTGGGTTGCTGCTGAGACCGACTCCCCCAAGCCCCCGCCTAAGCGCATCACCCTTACTCTGCCTGTTGTTACCCACGCTCTCAACATTGCCTTTGTCGCGACGGGCGCGGGCAAGAAGGGAATCCTGAAGAAGATCTTTGATCTTGAGGAGGGCTCTAGTCTGCCTTCCGCTCTGGTCAACCAGGGTGCTGGTGATAAGGTGACCTGGTTCACGGATCACCCGGCAGTGGATGGTGTTTCATTCCCTCGTCGTGGGAGTCTTTAAGGTGTGAGATGTCCTAGATGGATTTGAGAGGTATGGATATGGGGGTGGCTTCCTTCCCATTTCGTAACTCTGGATATGCCTTGCATGGCATTGAATCCGCTGGCTGTGATGAAAAGTGATTGCTAGGATTAATAGACCAAACTCATATCTTTATCCGTCATTTTTGTCCATGCATTATACCGTACAGTAGCGATTTCTTCTAGAAGTATGTCCAACATTGGAATGTCCTATTGTTTGTCTGCTTATCCTTTCAGATCTTGCTAGCTGGAATAATGCAAACAAACGGCCTCAATAAGTCCGGAGACAACAAATATGACCAACTGACAGTTTTTTAAGACATTGTTGGCATTTTAGGGCGAGGGAGATATTAGAACCGGTAGCGGAGTTCAATCCACTCTCAAGGAGCAGATAGCTAAGTCCATGATCTTTCTTCCCTTTTGGTTCGATGACCAGGTGTAACAGAGATATTATCTCGTAACAAGACAGAAGGTCACATTTATTTTTTAATTGCTCACAATTCGCAATGAGAGATATATCACGCCGGTGCTATTCCTAAACCTGACACTGCTATTTAGAAGGCAACTATACAGGAAACTAGACATATGATCATCTTACCAAATACTCGTACAACATACGCTATTCAGCCAAAGAGTGGTGTCGAGAATTCTTGATTAGAAGATCCTTTATTGATTGATGTAAGATATTTGCAGATCAATCAAATGTGGTCATATGGAGCTGAACCCCTTGCATTACGCTGATTCTCCAACCGCAAGCATACCCGAGAATTCGTTGAGATTTGCCAAATTCAGGCTCTGTACAGCGTATCACCTCAAATGAAACGGGTTGCCTAAGAAGGCCTATCTAGAAAGGGGCCAAAAATGTTCTTGTTGTCCATGCTATTTGCTAGCATATTGCCTTACCTTTGAATAAGCCCCTAAAGCAGACACGAGGCAATTCATTGAGAGATACATACCCAATCTAGCAACGTATCTTAATGTCTTATTCTGCCATAGATACGGAGTACAATGTACTTTGACAGTGAGTGCCCAGCCACGCAGCCCGTGCCGATCTCCCGTTTCTAGCCGGCCCCCCACAAATGCATGTAACCCCGGATTTCCTTACGGGATATAGAGTACAGCTTAGCCTATGGCCTCTTTAATGGTTTGAGCAGTTATTAGCCTAAACTAATTGGTATGATAAATGCGTTTTAGATATGGAGCATCTAGACCATAGGTGTGACGCCTATCACTTGACCGCTAGGTACAACAAACAGCTAAATGCCGGTCAAGTAACCCACAAACATGAAACGACCCAACTAATAATAGTCCCCTACTCTCATATATGCCCACAGAGAAAGCTCAATTGGTCAATACGTAATCGGCCGAGACTCGTGGACCCCCGGGGCTGTCTTGGCTGTCGACGCTGCATTGCCCGCTTTTCTCTGTGACATTGTGCTGGCCGGCCCTAGCTGTTTTTGCATTTCTCCAAACAACCCTGGTCACTCTGTTACAATTAAGAGGTATTAGCGAGAAATCAAAGTTATACGAGGGAAAAGAACTCACTCCACCATCGATCTTGCAGAGTGTGAAGCAGTTGTTGGACCGGGAAGAAAGTGCCACTCCTTTGCCGGCTTCGATAGGTGAGGCAAGGGCTAGACCAAGGACAGTCGCAAAGGCCCAAATAAAGAAACGCATATTGAAGGTGTTCGTGGGATAGGTTGTTGGATTTGTGGTGGGAACTTTTGAGGGTTTGATAAAGTGATGATTGTTTCTCAAGGTACACTGGAGCCTCCCTTTTATATTATCTTTTCTATTGTATACTACGTGATATTAGATACTCAATTCATCCCCCTTGACTGCTGTGGGGTTCCGCTCCCACGACTCGTGCGGGCTTATGTGCATGATCTCCAACATGCAGGGAGGATCCTCGAATGCTTACTCATATTCCAAAAATGCCAAGATCGATCTACACGGAGATTGTGCTGTTTGAGTAAAGACCTACAATTTCCTTTTCAGCTCGATGGCTATACGGTGTCGGCTGATCCAATTCCTGCAATGTAACCTCAAATTGCGAACCAGCAAGGCATGGTTCTGGTACATTAGGCGTCCAGCTATAATGATCTGCAATTTATTGCTTCTATTAGGGAAATAGTCAAGATAGCATCAGTCCTATATAAAGCCCGATGCCCACGCGAGTTATGAAACTCATTCGTCAGAAGTGCACCCATATTCACTACAAACCTCACTACAAACCTCAAACAATCTTTACAAATCAATCCCTCAAACATGAAGCTGTTTATTGTACTTTTTGCACTTGCTGCCTACGCAATGGCCGAAGCCGGTCCGAACCTGGAGGCGAGAGCTGGGTGCTCCCAGAAGGGACAATATTGCAACGGCGGTACATTCCTGTGCTGCCCGGGACAAGGGAGCTGTAGTGGAGGTGTAGTAAGTTTGCAGCTGCTCTCTCCCTAGAGACAGATATGGTCAAACATGATATCAGATGGCTAAAATGAATCATAGTGCAAATGAGCAACGATATACCTACCAAGGGAGCGCAGAGGTGGCTTTATGGTTACGGGTTCCATATATCGGGATTGTTAGGACTGTCTCTTTGGTCAAAGTTCGGGGTACTCCAGGCAGTGTGTTCCTATGTTGCCGATTCTAAACGGCCGTGGATAAAGCTTTTCATCCGCAATAAAAGCCAACAATCCAATGAGGATTTATTGCGCCTTGCTCCAAGTCTCTGCTTCATAAAGCCAGCCTGAGTTCGCAACTTGATTATTAAGATGGCTCATACCCCTCTAGCTCGATATTAGTGGAGCGTAGATCCCCGTAGACAATAAATAGTCAGCCGGCCTCTGTCCTTGACATTATAGCCTTCGATTGCAAATGTTTTCCTAGCCGTTGATACGTACAACCCATTGTTTAGCACTCATGATCATATCTCACACACATGCTCACGCATAGCAACCCATTCGCTAACATCATCAGCAGCTATGCCCTTAACCTGCCTTACATTAGCTATAACATCTGTTCGCTCGAGGGCCATCATGACACTATATCTTGCATTAAGGTGGAGAAGAACACTATCATTGCCAGAACCCAGGATGGTACCATTTGTGTGTGGGATCTCACCAAGAACAACAACAACCATGCCTCATTGATCCTTAACGGACACACAGGTGCGGTGTTGTGCCTCAAGTTGCACGGCAACTACCTTGTCTCTGGTGGTCATGATGGGGTGGCTCGTGTCTGGAACATCGAAACCGGCCAATGCAAGGATGTACTCCGAAGCCACGAGAGAATGCGCATGCAATTGCCACTGCTAGCACATATAGGACCCACAGCGCAGAATCAGAGATCAGGGGGTGGCTGCGAAACATTGAAGAATTTGCGGGTATGTTAGGAACTATGATAGTCAATGCAAGTTCAAGTACATTGACTCCGAATTGCTGGATCACCTCCATATGGTGCGAGATGACTTAGTGGATATGTTGCCAAGTGGAATGGGTTGTGCTCGACGGCAAAGACGGCAATGGCGTCATTGCTCTGGCTACCATGCCTACCTGACCATCTCGCACATGCAATCTCGCATTCGACAGTAATTGATATTTCTTCCATCTCACATAACTGCCGTTAGGTGCCTCTATCTCAATATATACACGATGTGATTAGGAAGTGACGGGAAAGTGACTGCTAGCTGAACGTCGACAAAGCTAGCCTAAAAGAGGTATACTCGTCGGACATAGAGATGTGGGTTTTATTCTTTTCAACATATCCAAACAAAATCCGAGATTATTATATTTTCTTTTTTTTTTTCAAACACTTTCCCATGTGTTGTGACTGCCGGAGGATATCTTATAATCTCATCTGATGACAAGCTGATATGCACTGGTGGAGTGTAGGTTAAGAATAAAGGAGTGGGTTACCATAGGGAAGATCGCACACATCACCTCCCCAACTCTCCGTTCACAACAAAACACTCATTTCATGAACCCAATGCATTATGCCGATTCTCATTTAATGACCTAATACGACCATGCCTATTCCAACACGTTCATTTTCGCTGCGCGATCCCCGTAAACAAGTCAGTCCCCCGGTTGTTTATCCCTTGAAGTTCCCCACAACTGTCGCATCCCTCACTGTGCCACTATTGCCATGCCAACAACTACAGAAAGAAACCATGCTAATTACTAAAGACTTCAAGTATAGCACGACCTGCCACAAAACCCCCCACTCCACTACCCGGCACCGCTAGCCTGAGCAAGGACTCTGCTCGAGAGACGAATAGCAAGAACCGCTCGCCATCAAATCCCTCGCCGGTCGAGGGTGTTGCTTTGAAAGACAATGGACCCACTGCTCGAGGAAAAACCCTACTTCCTCAGCGCAGTAATCTTGCCCTAGACAATGGTCGTGGCACGGGACATGGGCGCATTCAGCCACCTAGCACCAAGCCGAAACCACGCGGGCACCCGTCACCAATTAGACAGCCAGAGATATCGCCAGCTAGGAAACAAACACAGGCAGATTCCACAGCAATAAAGATTGGGGTAGTGCCCAGCCGTCGTCAAAGCATCATGCGACCTGGTGCCTTGAAGGTGCCTTTAGCGAAGATCACGGTCGCTTCGTCAAAGAGCTCGGCACAATCATTCGCGCCGCCCTCACCCCGCAAAGCTCCAGGAAGGCCATCACCAGTTCAGCCTCATACAATCAGAAGCCCCTCTTCACCCAAGAAAACAGAGACGCTACCTCCACCACGTCCCACACGGTCCCTCTCTTTACGGCAACCTGTCAGCGCTAGCAAGGGACCACCCACAGCTGCCAAAACACATGTTCGGCACAAGAGTCAGCTGGCACAGAATACAAAACAAGCCGAAACAACCCCGGCAATCGGCCAACGTGCACGAGCACACTCAACATACCAACGGCCGTCGTCCCCTAAAAAATCGTCCAATCCTCCAACGCCTACCCCTGGAGCCGAACCTCAGCCTGGAAATGTGCTTATCCCTTCGCCGTGGCCGGATATCGCAGCACTACAAACAGAACTTCTTCAGCTCAGTCTTTTCTATTCCAACTCACTACAAAGCCAAGCTGAATGGAAGTCTGATTCCGAGTCACGTCTGCGCAAAAAGTATGACAGCGTCGCTAGCCAATATCGATTGGTACTAGCAAATGAAACGCAACAGCAGTGTCACCTGAATGCACAGGCCCTACGGCTTTGGCTTTCTAATTGTCGCGAACATCGCGGTCCGCATGATTTCTCCGAGCAAATTCAAATTCTATCACGGGTTTTACAGGATGTCTCGGACATGATTGCTGGCAGTCGAGGTGCACAGTACTCTCGGGCTGTAAAGACCTTCGAAGACTGGCTCAACCAAGCGGAGCTTATTCGCCATAAACGTGGGTCGGGGTGCCTTGATGTCGGCGCCTTTATTGATCCCCTGGGGCGAAGCTGGAAAGAATCATTGCATGCTTTAAATGTGAAGTTGGAACTCTGCGTACGCCAATTACAAGTACTTGATATCCCGGGCTTGGGGGAATTGGAGCGTCTAGAACAGTCTGCTCTTGCCAGAGTGGCCAGGAATCTGGTTGAATTGATACAGCTTATGATGCAGGAGATTCGTGCCATGCAAACATTGGAGACAGAAGTGGTGCGTTCAGAAAGAGATTATGTCGGCCTTCTTGCGACGCAGCTGGTAGGCTCTATGAAGGAAACGAGGGCTCCCCAAGTCGGCGCATGGAGGAGCTAGTCTGTGGTTTATGTATCTTTGCATAACTATGTAGTTTTCTACCACCTGTACAAACGTGCGCATATTACGTAGAAAATGAAAAGGAATGAAATTATACGAAGAGTGACAGTACATGGGACCCTGCAACGGGGACAGCAGGGGCACCGACAGCCCTACCTGCGAAACAGGTGCGAGAGCAAAGTCTTCACTGGGGGTATTCGGGTACTAGAGAGGAGAACACCATGGGGTGACTACTAAGAAGAGAAGGTGGTTGATGTCTGCGTTGCCATCTCTGCCCCGGGTGCTTCTACAGGTAGTTGGATATCACGTGACCGCTTAGTCGTCATATACTGGAGCCCAACCTTGGAACCTTGGAAGGTAAGCTGGTGAGTCAGCCACCGTCATCTCCACCAGGGCTCTAGATCTTAGAGGTATCGCGAACCCGCTCGCATTCCCCTCATACTTTTATTTCTATCTTTCTCACTCCATCGTCACTTGTCTCTTTCTACGCCGTACAGATATCTACTGGAATGATATACTTCATACAGGGTGATGTAACCTTGGAAAAGTTATCTCTCAGCTCTCTTCTTGACGTCATCCACGGCAGCTTCCGTTTTGACAGATAAAAGTCACCCGCAAAGAGACGGTATCCACTTGCTTAGTACCTTTCGAGATGATCGCCGATCGTACCTAGTGAAGAACTTCAACTTTCTCCCCCATCTGATCCAGTGATCATGAAAGACTCGCTCTACGATCGCCTTTGGCGCCGGGAATGCGGGGAACAGCTGCGGTATGCTGGGCTTCGGGGAATTTACGGATCTAAGGAATGGATCAATGATCTCGACATTGTGAATGAACTCGGTGGGCATACTGGTTGTGTCAATGCCCTCAGGTATGTTTATAGCTTCTGCCTAGGCCGAGGTACTCGGTTTCATCGACTGGCCAACACCTCCGCCATTTCTGATGCTTGCCATGCTAACAGTCTCGCAGTTGGTCAAAGTCAGGGCGTCTTTTGGCGTCGGGCTCTGATGATAGACACCTCAATATCTACTCCTACCAACCCGACTCCTCCGATGCCCCATTCGCGCTCAACACCACCGTTGCCACCGGTCATAAAGCAAACATCTTCTCCGTCAAGTTTATGCCACACTCAAATGATGGGACTCTGGTTACATGTGCCGGCGACTCGCAGGTTCGCGTCTTCGATATCGAATATTCTAGTGGGAGCAGAAATGATGCTACCACCTCCGCATTTGCGGCCTCCACCCAGAGCCGAAGCTTCGATGAGTTCTTCAGTGGCACGCGGTACCTGAGTGACGGCAATACCAACGCCAGATTGTATCGAAGCCACGCCGATAGCGTAAAGCGCATCGTCACCGAATCCTCCCCGTTCCTCTTTCTCACTTGCTCTGAGGATGGTGACGTCCGCCAGTGGGATCTGCGGCTACCATCTAGTGCATACCCTCCGCCACGCGGTGGCCAAGGCTTCATGGCATACCGACAAGGGTTGGAACATGATGACTCGAATGTTCCACCCCCTCTCATCTCTTACAAACCATACGGTTTGGACCTCAATACTATCTCCTGCTCGCCAAGTCAGCCGCATTATATTGCCTTGGGTGGTGCGCACCTCTACTGCTTTTTGCATGACAGACGAATGCTTGGCCAGAAGACCTCTGCTAGTGCTGCCAGCCTCAATAATGACGAAGAGATGAGCAAGGCGACGCGATGCGTGCGAAGATTCGCACCGGGTGGCAAGCACAATTTGAAATTCGATGATGGACATATCACTGCTTGTAAAATCAGTGATGCGAACCCCAATGAGATGGTTGTTAGCTGGTCTGGGGATCACATTTACAGTTTTGATTTAATCCGCAGCCCAGATGCCCGAGAGATACAGGCGGGCAATAAATCGACTCTCAAGGGCAAGGATCAACAGGCTCGCCGCAGTTCACGGAGCCGGAAGCGCAAGAAGCCCACAACACCTTCATCGCAAGAAAGTGATGGCCGACATCAGTCCCATCATCGGTCAGCAGAGCCAGATAATTTTAGGATCCAATATGAGAATGGCGAATCAGAGGATGTCCCATTTCCCACATTATCAGATAGTGTCATAGACACCGACCCCGAGCATTTGCTCGAGCAGGCTCGGTATTCTGTGCTGAATGATGCCCAGCGATTGAGCATGCAGATTGCAAAGGGGTTAGTAGAACTTCGAAAGGCTCTGTTCTCAGAAACGACAGTCCGGGACGCCGCAGGGTCCGACGAGGTGGGACCCGAATCGTACTCGAGATGTTTTTCATCCGCACTGGAAATTGCGTCTACGTTTCTCCCACAAATGGGCAATATCATGCGCGACTGGCGCTATCCTGTGAACCCATCACAGGAGACAGTTAATTTCCAGCAATCGCTTCGTCGCAATCGCCAATCGTCATGGAGATTTGTCCAAGCTGCTGGCACACTTTCTCATGCGTTGGCAGATCAAACGCAAGTTCTGGAAGAATCAAGTTTCCAAATGATCAGGCCTGCGCCAGGCGAAGATGACCCCATTGAGCTAGCAGCTCAGTTTGGCTATGAATTCCTCCGGGCAATTCTTCTTTGGCTGCAGGGTGGCAGGCGGCGTCTTCTAGAGGGCTTTCAACGCCACAACGCCCCTCGACGATTACATTGCCGATTTCCTATCCCAGATGAGTCCGGAGAGGATGCCATCGAAACCATTCTAGTACCCTACATTATGGTATTGGCGCGTGACACTCCGATTGTGAATGTTGACGCCTCCAGATTCGAGCATGACAGTACGCGCATTCTGTTCCAAACCCAACGAGCTGCCGTGACTGCATTTGGGAATGCTATTAGATTGCCCTTGGAAGATCTTGGGGGCTCGGCTGCTCGGTTCGACAGGAGCCGTGCTTCTAATCCTGCCTCACAAATCCGCTCTCTCGACAGGGCCTCTGCGAAGAGGTTCTGGATTTTACGAGTGGGCAGAGGAATCTTGATGGAGGCAGGCAGTGAAGTAAATTACAGATTTGTCAACAATGCTTTCGGCGGACTTCACACCACAACGAACGAGTCTAATGACTTAAATGAAGAAAGAGACCCGGTTTATACCGATCCCAATGTGGAGGAAGAACGGATCCAACACATTGAACTCATCGGGGCTAGGCAAAATAATCCTCGGCCTGAAATCTCTCGAGGCGGTGCAACTTCTTCGGAAAATAACGACGTCAATACAGACGAGAATGATAGCGATGACAGCCATGCAGAGGATTCAACCGACGATGAAGACCATGATGGCTGGCCCATGCATTTATCTTCAGATGAAGATAGTGAGGGATTTGATTCCGATGACAATATGCCCCAGAGATATGCCATTAGAAAGGCACGACATGAGAATGTCGACCGCCATGCTCCATGTGTGCCTCACATGAGAAGCTATCGCGGTCACTGTAACGTCAAGACCGTCAAGGATGTCAATTATTTCGGACTAGATGATGAGTACGTGGTCAGCGGCTGTGATTCTGGCCATATATTCATCTGGGACCGCAAGACGTCGAATCTAGTCAACATCCTAGAAGGCGATAGTGAGGTTGTCAATGTTGTTCAAGGTAATTTCCTTCACTGGTTAGAAAGACAAAGATTAACATTGTGATTTAGGCCACCCCTATGAACCAATGATCGCCGCTTCAGGAATCGATAGCACTATCAAAATCTTTTCACCAGACCGGAACGCTCAAGATGATGCCCGTAATGGTGTGAACATCCTCGACCCTGACAATCCATCAAACGCGTTTGGACAAAACAACTCCAGTATCGGCGGTCTCGTGAGCCGGAAGCGAGTTCATGAAAGCTACCGCATCATGAGCCAAAACGATGTTGAACGTCGTGGTGGTATGAGTGAGGCACACATCACTGTAAATTACTCGCCCTCGATCTCTATATAGATCTTTTTGCTGACTAGTACCTGAAGCGGAGCATGCTCGAGCGCCTGGCTGTTAACCTGAGGGGCCGACATGGCGGCCTTGGAATTGATGATATTGCTGCTTCCGGTGACCATCGGACCGTTGTCATCGATGATAATTGCTCGGTATGTCAGGATTTCTTCCTTATATGTGGAGTTGATACTAACCATTCGATAGGTGATGTGATAGATGAACAGGCAGAGCTCCGGATATCTGCATTTGCACAGTGTCAAAAAGATCATCAGTCTCATAACCTCATACATTTATTGTCATAGCATCGCATTACAGTCCCTAATGCAAGAGGACACTCTTTTACTTCTTTCATTCCTTCCTTCAAGGTTGCACCTGCCCTTTCTATATTTAGGTACCTTCCTTCCTTATAAAGCCAAGCAAGGCCTAGAACTTACCATCACCCCAACAACTACGAGAGCCCTATATTCAAACAACATTACACACATTTCCTTGTCGGTCCCACTAAAACCGGATCTTCTATTTTCGCAACATACCTCATGAAATCCTCCATCCGCAACCCACGAGAATGGAATGGGGCCAAGAAGAATCTCTCGTGACTACAAAAGGCGGTTGAATTGAAAGTCGCTATCTCAAAAACAGAAGCGAAATTACATCGAGATATAGATCTATAGGGAATGCGAAAACTCCCATGGCAGACCAACCATCACTGTGGATAAATGTGAGTGGGATGAAACAAATGTGTCTTCGACGCGCCAACGTACGCCTTGCGTCATTAACAGCGCTCTCTCAGCACAACCTCAGATGTGTCGAGTCATATACAACTAATCTCCGATAGTCAGAAGTCGCTATGCTAGATATCGGCCTGCTACTATATTTGCTGCCGGGAAGATCTAAAGAAAATGACACCTACGAGGAAAAGAAGCAGAGCGCCTTGAGCGAGCTCTTCCTACAACATGTTATACCCGCTGATCTTACGGCTAATGGTAGCGATATGTGAACCCCTGTATGTGTAAATTGCAGACACTGGCGGTATTGTTAGTCAAATCCATACTCGGAAATGACCGAAGTCTTTTTTTTGGTTTCGTCTGTTATTTTCTATCGAGCTTATTATGAAGTGTACTCATGTTAGGATCAATGTGAGTTTCAATGATGATCCCAAGTCACAAATGGATCAAGTAACAGTTCAATTAGAAATTTATGTCCAGGAATTGAGGTTTCCTTCTGATAATTAGCATGTCTTCGTTCTTCGTCTCGTCAACCTAGAATATTAGATGGTACAGTAGAGACAGTGGTAAGAATATATTGACTGGTGGTGATATTGCTGGCGAACAATATGTTGGGCAGGTGTATGATAATCAGCAAACTAGAAATTCCTATAAATGCAGATATGGATTTCTGTAGCCGATATTCGATATTCGATATACCTTCACGTGACCGTCCTTATCGTAGAAATTTTTTGCGATAAAAGAACTTCCGTGCGAATATCTAGAGGGGCAGATCACAAACTTCATTTATAAAAGTCAAAAGTCATTTGATATTGTGTCAGTGCTCTAGGCTCAGCTGCTGTAGTCTAGATCTCACTATTTCCCGACCACTCTACATCTCCCAACCCGATATCACAGCCAGGTATCCATTCTATACTGCGGTTTTGGTTGTCGGAAACCAAGGAGTGCGTAAAATTTGTTACATCTTTGAACACATCACATTATGTCTGCATCGGAAGTGCTCCAAGCTCGCAATGAGACAACCACTAGGCTCTATGCAGACCCTCACAACCCCCACCTCCACCTTGAACGAGGCATTCAGTATGAAAAGTTGGGCTTCCCCGACCTCGCCTCTGCAGATTCATATCGTGCGCTAGCACTGCTAGAGTCGGTGGTTGACCCAGATGAGTGCGAGTTCCATGCCAGGCGGAAGATAGACCCTTCCCAGCAGGCTCCCAAAACGGTGGCGAATGAATCAGATGACGAAGACGAAGACAACAGCACTGTGCCTATCACCCAAGAGGAATATGACGCCATCATTGACCAGGTGTATGTCCTTCTAGTACGCAGTCTCGTCCGCTGCGGCTGCTACCGCGATGCATTCGAGTTCGGCGTGCGCGGGTTGGCCCTCCTCGAGAAGAGGTCTGCAACAGCCTCAGTAGCTGCTTTGAACGTGCAGATGGATCGTGTGAAGGAAATATACAAATATCGCACTGGCTCTGAAACAGAAAACATCGATCTGGACTCAATCGACCCCAGCGTCCTCCCTGCACAGGGCTTCGCCCGCCGTGTCCTCTATCCCTGGAACGGGCACGAGCCTGACCGCCGTTCACCGGAGACTCTCAAAATACTCAACGAGCGACTGGCGGTCATTGCGCCGAAATGTGAGGTCCGCGCAGTGGCCTTGCCAGTGCTGCATGCCTCGGCAGATGACGACTCGGCCGGCATGGACGTCTCCGTGCAGCTCGGCCTCTTCGCGAAAGAAGATATCGCTCCAGACGAAATCATCCTCCGCGAGTCTTCACTGCTCACAGCAACCAACCGTCTCCACGACGATCTCTGCGACGCATGCAACGCACCGCTCCCAGAACTATCCGCCGCCGAACCCCCCGTCGCCTGTGAGGGTGGCTGCGTAGATATCATCTTCTGTAGCCAGAAATGCCACGACACAGCGCAGGAGGTTTACCACGGCGCAATCTGCGGCCTTGAGGATGGCCTCGACTCTATCGGGAAGGATGTCCCCGACCCTAAGGATAAGGCTGATTACCTGTACCTTCTTCTGCTTGGCAGAGCCCTCGCCATGTCCGCCACACAGGACAAGCACCCGCTCGACCTGCCCGAAATGAAATACATCTGGGGCGATTTCCATGATCTCGATATTGAGTCTGTCTCCGCGGAAACAGAGATAACACCAACCACTGACGATACCGCCACCCTCCCCTTCTCCTTCCAGCTGAATGTCCTGCAGCCGGAGCGTTTCCTCGACGAAATGGGCCTAGATCCATACGTCGCGCTCTACCGCTACGATACCTGGGTTCTAAACACGCTCTTTGCTAAGTTCCGCGGCACGGCATCAGGCCGACTTTCGACTTGGGATGGAGGCCCGGAGCTGTGCGCTGTTCATCCACTGTGGTGCCTTGCGAACCATTCCTGTGATCCTAATGTGACCTGGGAATGGAGTAGCGAAATCAATTTCCGCGTGCGGAGAGACGATGAGACGGCTGTTTGGTCGCGTGGGCTTGAGATGAAAGAGCTAAGGCCTGGCGGTATTGCGAAGGATTCGGAGATCCTGAATCATTATTGCGATATTAGCTTGCCCGTTCAGAAGAGAAGGGAATGGGCTTCTGGGGCTTTGGGTGGGACTTGTTTGTGTGATAGGTGTGTTTGGGAGGCTGGGGAGGTGGAGTAGGTTTGTATTTATGGGTTGGTGTGGATCGCCTTGATAGATCACGATGAGATACCCGTTTGACTGCATTCAATGAGAAGATTTCCAATCAATGCCTCCTATAGATCAAACACTTATTACTGGAGTCATACAAGGTGCTCTATTTGAACATGTTTATTTGAACATTGAGGAAATGCAACCCTGAAGAATGACACCTTTTTAGTCTTCAACAGCATACTTCAGGAACGCAGTGACTTCGCGCCCCAGTTTTAACCAAACTTCTCATATTTGTATATGCACTTTATCTATATATCTCAGTCTTTTAATTCTATTCATGGGAGCGAAAGCGAACAGTCATTTTATCTCGTGTTTATAGAGAAGGAGGCTCGTAGATATATATGTAGGCAAACATAACCATAGTAAAAAGTAGGAAAAATTCATTCAATGTATATAAGCATGTTTAGTAACTAACTATTAGTTTGTCTTCGATCTAAAATATGGTACTGAGATTTAGACTTGATCAATCTACGAACTAGAATATTCCTTAGACTTGCGTGTGCGTGTAAATTTCCCGGGCATTAACTATCGCCCAGTCTCCTTCTTATACGTATTCGTTTTTTTATACTTATCTGTTCTATAAGATATTTATTTTGTTGGTATCATAACCGAAGAGATGTATGTTAATGGATATGATCATTGTGCTTTGTTTTTCATTCTCCTTTTTGTCCCTGCAGCTAGTTGAGATGGATGCTCATATAGGTATGGATACTTCTCCTTCAGGAATCCCAGAGCCACTAAGAGGACTATCCAGAAAGACAAGTACCATATTTGAGGCCTCATATATGTTACTATTGCTAAGATTCTAGGCAAAACTAGTCAGGACCAGCAATGATATTAGTCAGCGGTCGCTGACGACAACAGTCAGTCACCCGATGTGAATGGAGTCGATCATTTCTAAGAGCCATTTCCTCTGAGAGATTATTGTGTGGAAGAGAACACGCGTATGACAGCCTCCATCTACTCCGTACTCACCCCTCCTTTTGATCGACACAGCCGTGGATCCACTTCAGATGAGTGACCTTCAGAAATCATTTGCCAAGTCAAAACTGGCCAAATTTCCCCCCGAAGCACCAATGCCTGAGTCAATGAGCCACTCAGAGGATGCATGGGAGGATGGCTCTTCGGCTTCCTCGCTGTCGTCGACCGGGACGATGGTCCCGTCACCTACGCGACAGCTATTCGCCCGAACGGGACGACGGTTCGTTTACTTCTCCAATTTCCATAAGCTCAATTTAGGCTCAATTGCCTATTTGAATCATCCAATTGTCTAGGACTAGGCTAATATACGAAAACAGACAATCATCTCAAACCTCTTTGACATGGACAGACTTCTTTGACCAGGAACTATTTCTTCCGGAGGATGTTGATAATCTCCATATTTTACACCATGTCTATTTAACACCACCGATTGGATCAGGCCCGCTTTTTGTCATGCACCATGGGGCCGGTTCATCTGGACTTTCCTTCGCGACGTGCGCAGAAGAGATCCGGAAGATCCTCCCAAAGGCGGGGATCTTGTCCCTAGATGCTCGAAACCATGGCCGCACTGTCGTTACCACATTGGACAGTGAGATAGATGATGGAGCTCCTTCTACGGCGGCTGCAGCCCAGGCTGAGGCCTCGGGAAACGTTGAGCTCGACCTCAGTCTTGAGACCCTGAGCCGGGATCTAGTCCATGTGATCTACCAGACACAAGCTAGGATGGGTTGGGAGAACCTCCCTGATATCGTTCTGGTTGGACACAGTCTAGGCGGTGCGGTGATTACAGATGTCGCGAAGAGAGGAGAGCTGGGTCAGAAGCTATTGGCATACGCGGTGTTCGACGTAGTTGAAGGTACTCTTGTCTTGTTGGTTTATGTCTATCTGATACTGACACCCCCATTTGACAGGATCTGCAATGGATGCTCTCCAGAGCATGGAGAAATATCTTTCGACTCGTCCGACCCGATTTCCATCCCTGCTATCTGGAATTGAATGGCAGTATGTGTCCATCTCGACTGTCATTTCTTTACATTATCGCTAACGTTACAAGTACTCGCTCTCGCACAATCCGGAACACCACTTCCGCTCGCGCCTCGGTTCCCTCCCTCTTATATGAAGAAAGCGAGCCTAGCGACCCGTCCCGCCCTTGGGTTTGGCGCACTAACCTCTCCGCAACGAAACCTTTTTGGGAAAACTGGTTTGTTGGCTTGAGCAGAAAGTTTCTCGATGCAAGAGGTGGCAAGCTACTACTACTTGCTGGGACCGACAGATTGGATAAAGAGTTGATGATCGGACAGATGCAAGGTATGCGTTTCGAAAATCCCTGTCAGCCATGTATAATAATTCGGTATCATGCTCACTTCAATACCACAGGCAAATACCAGCTCCAGGTCTTCCCCGAAGCAGGCCACTTCGTCCATGAGGATCAGCCTGCAAAGACTGCGCAGATCTTAGCGGATTTTTACCGACGAAACGACCGGAGTGCATTGGTGCTTCCGCCCAAGGTGGCGGATATGCAGGCATCAGCGGCGATGAAGAAGGGAACTGGTGCTCCTGGTGGCTCAACAGCGCACCAGAAGTAGTATTTCATGATTTGTCCCAGTGCTTGAAATGAGATATGAATCCAATGAAAGGCTATTCATAGATGTAAACACATGCTTTCGAGCAATACATCTATAACGCTCTTTCTCCAATGCTATTAAGTCTACTCCGTACAGTTGATGAGGTTAAGCTACTCGCATGTAGGGAAATAAATTAGAAAACGTTTCATTCTCGAACGGGTGAAAAGATCATTTAGGACAACTAGCAGGCTAGCCTCCAGTTCGGAGCTCTATGCCACCCCATTGTGACAAACGTTAAAGTGAAAAAAGGAAAAACAAAAGCTGCCGGGCACAGAAAAAAGGTTCTTGCCTCTCGCTCGATAAACAGGGAGAATCAGGTTTTCGAGATTCCGAACGCCACCGGGATTCCATCACAAGTAATCATCATGCGAGGATCGTGAAAAAGGATGTGATAAAACAAGGAGAAGTAAGGGTATCCTGAGAGAGAAAAAAGAAAGAGAGCGCATGACGCCAAGAACAACGGATCTAGATGCCATTTTAAGGCAAATAGGCACCACCAGCAACCACCAGATTCATATTGGTGAACTTGACCCTGTAGACAGGAGACTTCTTAGTCGGGAAAGCGCTGATTTGGTCGGCGGTGACAACAACATCTTTTCCCTTCTTTTTCTTGGTCTGGCTTGTCGAGGGGTTTGCGGCTGCATCCAGTCTGGTTCCAGTGCCTGATTCATTGAGGATACGGCCACCCTGAGTGGTTTCCTGGGAACCAGCAACATCCCAGACTCGCACGGTTCCATCGGCTCCACCGGAGACCAACACTGTGGACTCCACACTCCAGCTGACAGACCAGATTCCACCTTTACCGTGGCCACGCATGCGCTTCAGCAGCCTACCAGGAGCTAGATCCCACAAGATGATGCAGCCCTGGTCGTCGGCGGATGCCAGAAGCTTTCCATCGCGGCTGCACTCCATCGCGGTGATACTACCAGTGTGGCCAGTAAACATGCGGACAGCATTACCAGTCGAGACAGCCCACATACGGACAGTGTGATCAGAGCTGGCGGTGAAAATGTATGCCGAGTTGGGGTGGAAGCAGACGACATCCACGTCCTGGTCATGACCGACAAAAATACGCTGCTGGCGGATTTGGTCACTCACCCACAAACGGGCGGTCCTATCAGATCCACCGGAGACAAAGTAGTGACCGAAGGGCCCCCAGCTTAGGTCCCAGACAGGGCGGTCGTGGCCCTTGTAGACGACCATACATTGCCAGCTATCAAGGGACCAAAGGCGAACTGTTTTGTCCATGGATGATGAAAGCAACCAGCGTGCATTGGTTGGAACCTTGTCATCCTCCGAAATGCCCTCGCGAGCAGTTGCGCAGGGCTGAAATGCAACAGCAGTGACGGGACCGGAATGACCGATAAGACGGCGCGAACTGGCAGGTGGTGAGTTATCAAACTCAGGGTCAGCAGCTTGAATGTTCGTGCCATCGAGGCTCCAAATCCGGATATACGACTGCTGGAATCCGACGGCAACAATCTGGCTGTCATCTGAAAAGTCCATGCAAGTGACTCTGTATATTTGTTAGTAAAGCTCTGTATTACGAAGATTGTCCAGATGAACATACCCATCATAAGTGTTGTGGAATGTGAACATGCACACACTAAGTCCAGGACCGACACCACCTGTGCGAGCCTTGATCTCGAACCGATCACGGTGTTCTATGACCTTCTTCACCTCAATTTGAACGTCACGAGCAGTGGACGGAGGGAAAGGAATATCTGCACGACTAGGTGCTTCGTCGTCATCTTCATTTTTAATCATTTGGTCGAACTCTTGAATGAGCGTGTTACGGCCAGCGACAGGAGGTTGTTTCGCATCTTCTTCGGCTAATTCAGCCCGCACATCCTCCTCTAGAAGCTGTTCCATAGGGAGTCTTCCGAGTTTCAGGCGAGGAAGTGTGCCGGCCATGGCCGGGTTGTCACCGGTGTAAGCCGAGCCGGGGTGGTGTCCCGGAATGCCTTCATCCTCAGCCGGGAAGGTCTGGTCTGCACCGATCTGGTTCAACATGGCAGCGAAACTGAATCGGTCATCTGCTGCTCGGTCCAAAGTCTTCACCGAGCAAAAGCTGCTGAGAATTGCGTTCATGACAGAACCCCCCTCCTTGTCCTTGCTCTCCAAAAACTGGAGAAGATTGGTGTAAGCAGGGTTGCTTAACACAACGCGGTATTTGTTGTTTCGATAAAGCTTAGCAACGGAGTTATCTTGCAGGTGCTCCGGTAAGCTGATAGGCTCGAAGTGGCGGACGTCATCGGTATGCTCGGGAAGGAACATGTTCTTGTTGGTTTCGAAGAATGACTTCGCATCCTGAGGATAGAAGGAAGTGACCATATTGAAAAAGGAATAGACGAACAGCGGCCATAGAACACGCCGAAGTTCAGGCTACGAGACAATTAGCATTGGCTTATCAAGTCACTCCTTGTCTGTCGCACCTTGTACAGATCAAGATTTTCCTCAACCCAATTCTTCAGTAAATCTAGTGATGCATTAGTTGCTATGTTGGGTCACCTGAATGGATATCTAGCTCACCAAAGCCTTGTCGAGTCTTGGGACGAGAATCTTCCCCCAGCTGAGGGAGCGGACGCCCATCAATCTCCTGGTTGGCAGATTCCATGCGCAACATTGCCTCTGTACGGCTGTAGCCCTTCTTGGCCAAATAATCAATAACCTAGAAAATACCGAAAGTTAGCGTACAATTCAAACCGAATATATTTGAGCAGAAAAAAAAAAAGGCAAGATAAGCAAGCGGTGCAGGAGGAGGGCTTAGTGAATAAACACACTGCCAGATCACGTTCACGTGCCTGCTCAGAAGTGAGGGCTTGTGAAGGCTTTGCGATGGGTGGACACGGCACATATTGTGCCGGAGTCATATCAGCCGCCACCGGCTCATGTCTTTTCTGGATCATCTGGGCCGGTAAGGTCGGTTGTGGGTACCGGCGAGGCTCGAAATCCTTGCCGTGAGTTTCCATAGCCAAGGCGGTTCTTGTGATGTTTTGCGAAAGCGGTGGGTTTGACGTGAAAGTGAAAGAAATTGATGGGTTGATGGGTTCCTAAAGACGGATAACCCGAATGAATGATAATACGAAAGTGTGAAGAATGGTTGGGTGAGAACCGCATGAAGCACATCATTGTTTGGCTCTGACTTGTGATGCCTTAGGTCGCTAGTCACAGACCTTGAGCACCGCTCATGAGTTGCAACGCGTAATACCAGCAGGCCAATAATGCCCTTCGGAGTCTGTGAGATGAACCATATTGTCGGCGTTGCAGATAAGCCCGCGCGGTCCTCTGCCATGGACTTCTGTCATCATCCATAGGTTGTAACGACTAATGAACAGCGTACTTGAGGACTCATGGCATTTTCAAAATCGTCGACGTTGATACAAAACGCTCCAGAGTCTCCGATTTGGATCCCTATCATCACTTTGATCCAGTAGAGTTGTGGCCAACTCAAGCTTCTCAAACTCGGCTGATCCCAAAACACACAGGATGGACACAACGTGCAAGGAATAATCATCGCAAAGGGACACAGGGACGGGAGGGAAACAAGACTTCTCAAACAATGCACAAATGAATCAGAAGGGTACCTACTATTTGGTTCAAATTCTGCTGTGACATAGCACCACTTGGTGGTGCACTGGGCCCTGGGGTGGGTGCGGAATGAACGGGGTTTCCAGGCAATGGCTGCTGGGAAGGCATCGCCATACCATTCCCATTGACACCTGGTCCCATACTGCCACTGCGTGGTCCAGGGCTTGGGGCTCCACCTTGTGCCGACATAGTTGACGATTAATTGACGACAGCTTCGAGACAGATTCTCAGATTGGGGTGGAGGATGGAAACTGAGCTGGGTTGCGTGCAATCGCGGGCAATTTATGATAGTGTTGGGCGGTCAGCTATCAGTTTTTTGCCTAATGTATGTAGCAAACAAAGGTGTTCAACAATAGAATAGTTAATGGGTTTGATATCTTGAATTTGATAGTTGCTACCTCACCGCCTATTAAGACCTCCCCAACTTCCGACACGTGATTCCAACTAACAGCTTCCTAAGCTCCATTCGTTCTACACTGGAAAAGCTAGTGGATTGATTCATACGCACCCAGCTATCTATCCTTTTCCTTTATACAAACCCTGACTAGTCACAATGAGTGAAGACGCACCCCCGCAAGAGCTACCTAGCTTTACCTCTGCCGATCGCATTCGACAGCTGAATGAGATGGATAAAGTACTACGAACATATAATTTATGCAGGAACCCTTTGCTGACTCTTCTTTTCTTTGTAAGGATGTTACCAAACTTCTTCATTCTGCTGGTCTCGCGATCCAAGCCTTGACCAATGCCAAACCAGGCCCCTCTTCTGTTGCACCAGATGGATCACTTGATTCGCACAAAACGCGATTCAAAGAAGCAAGTGCAAAATACTTCGCACTTCTCTCCTCAGCCGATGTATCCCTCCGCCGCCAGATCTACTCCTTAGAGGAATCATCCCTCGTAGGGCCCGAGAGGGCCTCGCGCGCAGGGGACGCAAAGGCTGGAGCCAGAAACGAAGGAGCCGCGGGAGCTAAATCGCGAGCTCCAAACTCACTGGATATAAGTCGGCTCAATAGCCGGAAGGATACAGTTGGAAAAGATAAGGAGGCTGAATTGTGGGCGGCCGCTCGTCAATTCGTTGAGCAGATGCAGAAGCCTTCCGAGACAAGCAAGAATTTTAGGTCAGCGAATGAACTAGATGATATGCAGGTGGATTGAGCGATGAGTTATCGATTCATTCGGTGCGATTGGTGGAGTTTGCTTCATATGTTCATGATACCCCGGGTTATCTCCTGCCACTGGCGTTTGAGATTACGAATACAATGAGTCCCATTGGAGAAGATACATACATTTACACCGTACCAAGTACATATGTAATCAACGCTAAGAACAAAGTGTGTATGGATCAGTGTTCGAGCATGTTCACAGAA